CTCAGAACCTATTATACAGCCACGGTAGTCAAAGCAGCCTGGTACTGGTACAATGATAGACACATAGATCAATGTAGCAAAACTGAGCACCCAGATGTAAACCCACCCACCTATAGACAGCTGATATTTGACAAAGTACTCAAGTCCATTAAATGTGGAAGAGATAGCCTCTTTAACAAATGGTGCTGGCTCAACTGGATGTCTATCTGTAGAAAAATGAAACAGGATCCATACCTTACATCACATACAAAAGTCAACTCAAAAGGGATCAAATATTTAAATATCTAAAAACCTAAAATTGTTAAGATCATGGAAGAAAAAATAGGGACAGTGCTAGAGACCCTAAAACATGGCATAAATAGACTATCAAAACATGGCCTAAATAGAATATCAAACATAACTAAAAATATACAAACAGCAGAAGATGAACTAGATAAATGGGCTTCCTAAATATTAAACACTTGTACTCATCAAAATACTTCTCCAAAAGAGTAAAAAGAGAAAGTACAGATTGGGGGAAAAAAAAATTGGCAATGACATATCCAACAAGGGACTAATCTCTAAAATTTATAGCAAACTTCAACACCTCAACAACAAAAAGACAACAATCAAATTAAAAGATGGGCAAAAGATATGAACAGACACTTCACCAAAGAAGACATTCAGACAGCCAACAAATACTGGAAGAAATGCTAATGATAATTAGCCATTAAAGAGAGGAAAACCAAATCAATAGTGATATATCATCTCACCTCAGTAATAATAGCAATGACCAAAACAAAAAACCAGAAAAAAACAAATGCTGGTGAGGGTATGGAGAGATTGGAACTGTCATACATACTGCTGGTGGAACTGTAAAATGGTAGAACCACTGTGAAAAATAGTATGGCACTTCCTTAAAAAGTCAGACATAGAGATACCATATGATTCAGCATACTAGGTGTATAGCCTAGAGAAATAGGAGCCATGACAGATGCACATCGTGTTTATCACAGCACTGTTTACAACAGATGGAAACAACCTAAGTGCCCAATAATGGATGAATGGGTAAACAAACTATGGTATATACATAAAGTGTAATACTATGCAATGTTAATGATAAATCTGCAAAATACAACATGGAAGAACCTGGAGGACATTATGCTGAGTGAACTAAATCATTCCTAAAAGGACAAATATTGTATGAGACCATTACTATAAAAAGTCAAGGAAAGGTTTACATACAGAAGGAAATACTCTTTAGTGGTTACCAGGGTTGGCAAAGGGAGGGAGGGAAAATTACTAAATAGAGAATAGACACATATTAACTTGGGTAAAGAAAAAAGCAATACACAATAAGAGGGAGTTCAGCATAACATGACCATGACCATGGCAGACCCTGGGAGGTACAAAAGAGTGAAAAGCAGCAATGGTAAATCCTATTAAATACACCATCCTGCCATGGTAACAAACAATGATTTATGAGTGGATGCATAGTTTGTTTTTTTTTTCCTGCAAGAGGAACAGGTGTGGGGTGGTGTCTGGGAGCACACCCATGAGTGTATATATAGATTTGGCAGAGGATATTTCTATACCTGTATTTTTTAAGCTGCAAATATATCCAGGAATATGGTAGAACATATAGAAGGCAAAGGTATGCAAACTTCTTAGCCAAGCTAAGTACCTTGAGGGACTGAGTCACTAGGCTTGGGGCTTAGGGCAATAATCTCAGGGGACACCCTATCAATTGGCATAACATAATCCACAGGACAATGTTCTATATCCTACACTGGTAAGTGGTGGCTGGAGTCTTGAAAGCTTGTAAGCAGCCATCTGGGGTTTAACTGTTGGTCTCTCCCCGTCTGGCATAGGTAGGAGTGAAGAAAGTCAAAGACTCAAGGAAACAATTAGTTCAAAGGACTAATGGTCACACAAGCCACAGCTTCTACTTGTCTGAGACCAGAAGAACAGATGATGTCTGGCTACCATGACTGACTTCTCTGATTGGGATCACAACTGAAGGTCCTGGACAGAATGGGAGAAAATTGTAGAACAAGATTCAAAATCATAAAAATGACAGACTTGCTGCTCTGACAGAGACTGGTGGAAGCTCTGAGACAGTGGCCCTTCGACATCCTTCCAACTGGAGCTGAACCTGCCCCCAGGGATCACCTTTTAGCCAAGCAACAGAGGGGCCTATAGGATGAACAATGACACCTGTGAAGAACATGCTTCTCAGACCCATCAACTACATGAGACCAGGAAGGGGACATTTACTCTAGAGCAAAGTTCAGAGGGCAGGAAGGGACAGGAGAAGAGGGGCGGATGAAAATGAGGAATCCAGGCAGCAAGCGGGGAGAGTGCTGTTACGTTGAGGGGACTGAGACTGATGTCACATTATAAATTGTTGAATGGGAAGTTAATGGCTCTGTAGACTTTCACCCAAGTCACAATAAAATGTTCAAAAAAAAAGATAAGGAAAATGCTCTTTTCCTCATTTACATAGTATATTAGAAACACAGAAGAGAATGTCCAGACAAAAACATAAACAGGTCTGCCTCTTCAACTCTTTTTGGTTCCAGAAGCACTTTGAACTGGTCCATTCCAGTTAGACCTCTGCTGAGAATTTGCATTTCCACATCTTATGTGCTGAATCAGAATCTAAATTTTCAACAAGCTCCCCAGGTGATTGAGATCTTATTAAAATGTACATTATGATTCAGTATATCTAGGTGGAAATGCAAATTCTCAGCAGGGAGCATATGAACTGGTTCAAAGCCCTGATGCTGAGCTAGTACCATCAGCTAGTAGCATTTCTCTGGCAGTTAAGGGCATGAATGCCACAGGTGAAACTAATCAGTATATGATTATGGACACTGAGCTGAAACGGGTTCTTAACCTTGCTCCCACATCAATCATTAAAGAAAAAATCTTGATCCTAGGTTACATCTCAGACCAACTAAATCAGCCATCTTTTAAAGCTGCCAGGTGAATTCAATGGACAGCTGAGGTTGCGAACCACTGGGTTGAGGGATTTTAAAAGTTGGTTGATTACACTCTATCAAAAGACAAATGGACATGAATGTCTCACTCTGTAATAGAAATTTCTGTAAGAAAGTTTCCCACCATGAATTGGGTTGAGGGATGAAGGCCAGATTAAAGAAGCAGAAAAACAAAAACTCTTTATCTCCAACCCAATGGAATTTAAAATAAGAATTACTTTTATTGCTGCAAATACTTGCCAGAAGTCATCAGAAAAGAGAAAATGCAAAAATATCCCAAATGAATGAAACATATATTAGCAGACTATAATTTCAACAGATCACAGACTTTTCTATGTTTAAAACAACATCTCAGACAGTGAAGAATGGGCTCTACAGCCAGCCAGTCTGACATTTGAATCCTCACACCCAGTAACTGGCTGCGTGACTTTGGGCAAGATTTATAACCTTTCTGTGCCTTGTTTTCTCATCTGTAAAATAAGGATAATAATAGTACCTATCTCACAGGGCTGCTGTGAGAGTTGCTTGTGTTCATGGAGGTGAAGTGCTTGGAACAGGGGCTGGAATGTATTTTGTGTTCAAAGTAGGTTAGTACAGGCATACCTGGGTTACAAAGGAGGTACGTTCCGAAGTGTGTCTTTAAGTGGAATTAGTAGGTAAGTAGGAACAGATGCATATGGTTCTTAGCCTTACTTTAGTGCAAGAAAGGAGCTCTGATGGTGCTGTGGTTAAGGTACTTGGCTGCTAACCAAGAGGTCAGTGGTTCAAACCACCAGCTGCTGTATGAAAGAAAGAAGAGGTGGTCTGCTTCTGTAAGAATTTATAGCCTTGGAAGCTCAATGGGGCTCACTTTGACTCAGAATTGACTTGAAGGCAGTGAGTTTGTCTGTTTTTGGAGTGCTCGAAAGGGACTCTGGTGGTGTAGTGATTAAAGCATTGGGGTGCTAACCAAAAGGTCAGCAGTTTGAACCCACCAGCTGCTGTGCAGGAGAAAGATGAGGCAGTCTGTTTCTGTAAAGAAGGAAACCCTATGAAGCACTTCTACTCTGTCCTATGGGATCACTATTAGTCAGAATGGACTCAGTAGCAGTGGGTATGGTTAGTGCAAGAAAAGGCTCAAAGCTAAAAGCTTAACAGTGCAGGCCTGGAAGGTGATTATGATGATGAATTTGTGAGAAGGGGTCGTTTCAATAGTTTCAAAGTGAGGGCAAATTTACCTAACATTAAAGGGCAAGTGTTGTTGTTATTATGTGCTGTTGAGTCGGACCTGACTCAGCGACCCCTCCTTGGGTTTTTGAGGCAGTATCACTATGGAAGTAGATTGCCCAACCTTCCTTTCGAGGAGTGGCTGGTGGGTTTGAACCGCCAGCCTTCTGTTAGCAGTCAAGTGCCTTAGGCATTATGCTACCAGAACTCCCCAAAGGGCAAGTAGGAGTCCTCAATTGGACTATTTGTTACCCGGGAACTGCCTGTACTTCAGAGAGAAGAGTGTCACTGCCAACGGGAAATTACGTTTTGGGTTTTTCACAAACTCTAAATCTTGAGTTTCCAGACTCCCAGAAAACGCTGCCAATCTCAGTGTTGACTCTGAAGGGCTGCCAGACAGCCCCGAGACAGGATTTATACCTGGAGCTGCCTGTCGCCCTCCACCCGTTTTCTTTCCTCGGTTTCCTTAAACTCCACGACACCTAAACCAAGTCATGCTGAATCTCAGATGAAAAAACAAACAGATTTTAGGAAAAATTTGTTGTCGGCATTTTTTTTTTCTTCTCAAAGTTTATCTTTTTCTTTTAGAAAGAAGTACTTTTCATGTGCTTTGTATACTTTAATGTTACGTTCAATAAAAATATTTAACATTTAAAAAACCCTCATATCCTTTTGAAGCCACATCCAACTTTTGGCATTGCTAACTGCCATGCAGGAAACGCCCTCTAGAATAATAACCAAGTGTCACACTGAACATAGTCTTTTCTGTAACGTGGCAACAAAGAAACATAGGCTAGAAAAATAGAGCCATACCTAAGTCTTTTCCAAAACCAGATTGTTTAACTCCTCCAAAGGGGGCTGCCACATCCGTCTTGTTGTATGTGTTAATAAAAACAGTTCCCGCTTCCAGTTTCTCGCTCACGTACATAGCTTTATTTATGTCTCTGGTAAAAACCCCTGAGGCCAAACCATACTCTGTATTATTTGCTCGATCCAACACTCCATCGATGTCCCTACAAGGTGATTTTAGGAGAACATAAAATTTCATTACATGTAAAGCAAGTCTCATTTTTGTACTTTTTTCCCCTTCCAGGCTATTTCATCCACTAAACCCACAGCTGTTGAGTTTATTCAGTTCACAGCGACCCCTATTGTGCTTCCAAGGCTATAAATCTTTACGGAAGGACATTGCCTCATTTTCCTCCCACGGAGCAGCTGGTGGGTTTGAACTGCTGAGCTTCTCGTTAGCAGCCAACTGTCTTATCCACTATGCCACCAGAGCTCCTTACTTCATCCACTAGAAGCAGGAAAACATCCCTGCCAGCGTGGTTCAAATCTTATAAATGAAATGTTTCAGACTTACACCCAAATCAATTCCCAATGAAATATTATAGCTCCAGTATTGTATTTTTCATATGTACCATGAGGCATCTTTTAAAAATCGGTCCAAAGTCATCTTTCCCGTTTTCTTCAGTGGCTCTCCTTCAGCATCCCTACCTCCCCCCCGTCCTCCAGTTGCATTCCACATATATTTGCAAAGCATCCCCTTATTTCCCTCCATCTCTGCAGACTTTGCACACACAGCTCAAGCTCTTTCAGTGCTCTACTCTGAAGCCTTTCAAGACCCCACGAGAGCCACTGCAAGAAGTTTGAGAGTTACACGAGAGGCCAGACCATCTGGGTGAACTCGGGCAGATGCCTGCCTCTCCCAGGCTTCTGTTTACTCTGTGAAACATGGAAGTATCTGTCCAGTTGTGGGGATTAAATGAACTAACAGTGTATAGAACACAGTAAATGCCTAATAAAAGTTGGTTATCATCACGGAGCCCACAGTCTTCCATGCTTCGTATTCTGGTAGAATGAATGAACTATGTGGTGTGGGCTTACTTTTCCAGTATTTGTGGTTCACCTCCTGTGGTAGTTAAATTTGTATGTCAACCTGGCTGGGCCTGGTTGAGTGTCTGGGCTGGTGGTGGTAGTTA